TTAATGAAAAATAAGTCATAGACTCCTAGGTCCTAAAAATAAATAAAAATATAAGAAACTATGGGGACTGTCGGCTCCTTTTGGGCTTGGGAAACGATTGGTTCCACTCCTATTAGCATCACTCTAATCAAAGAGTTGTTTATTATATTTCAGCAATAGTTCCTCGTAACAAACTGCATATGAAAGTTTGGAAACTAGCAAACTTATCTTTCTCTGTCCCAAACTAGATTGAGTTTCCAAATCGCTCTTTGTCTTTGCATCAATCAATGGATCTGTTGTCGTGTTTTATGCCAACTGCTAGAATCTACTGTAAGGCTGGGCATAACTTCTCTTTAGCCATAAGAGGCGGTAAGGTGGTTCTTGCTTTGGCTAATCCAGCTGATGAGTACCAGGTAATCACCCTTTTTTTTATTTTTTATGGCGTTTGTTTATCAGATGTCCAAATTAAGGTAGCTATTAACTTACAAGTTTTGATATTGGATTTTATTGCTGGTGTAGCACTGGTACGTTGATGTGTTCTTTAGTGGGAATGGCCTTGCTTTGGTAAATAAAAAAACTGGTGAGGTCATCAAGCGCACTTCTTCAAATCAAGGACCTGTAAGAATCCGTTGAATGGCCATTAGAATTTTACTATGTTCATTTCAATTGTGCTCACTGCAAGAAAATAGCGAAATACCAACAGAAAGAGTTGTCGTTAATAACAACACCCAGCTGTTGGTAAAATAACATAACCCGCCACTCGGCTGTCAGCATAGCTATTGCTGACGGTTAGAGCAAACAGTAGAGAAATTACGGGGTAGTGGTGAGGGATGGAGCTTGACCAATATTTTTTTTGTGGGGGGAGAGGGGGTGGAATTTTTTTTTTCTATTACTATGTAAATATTGGAGAAAAGTATTTATCAACCAGACGAATTTTTTTTTTGAAGAAAATATTATATGTTTTAATAAATTTTTATTATAAAAGTTAAAATAAATGTTTATTTAATATGTGTCTTAATATAAATTAAGAGCATAATAAATATATTTTTTCAATTAATTTATATAGAAAAGGGATAAAAATTAATTTTTATTTTAATGTTATTATCATGTGAATAGTTCTAATTAATTGATTAATTAAATTTAAGTTAATTTTTGTTATTTTTTATGTAAATTAATTATAAAATAATACATTTATTACACTTTTAATTTATACTCTAAGAGTGTATGATAAAAAAATCCTTAAAAAAATTTATTTTAAAAATAAGAATACAATTGTTTTGATATTTTTCTTATAGTATTTTATTAAAATAATATACCTTTTTTAGTGATTTTTCTCCTAATTTAAAGAAATCTAACTGATAAATACTAATTTTTAAAATGTAATATAAATTACAACATATTAGAGGAGACCTAACATTAAAGATCACGTTATACAATAAAGTAAATTAGTTATTTCATTTGCTCACATTAAAAGAGCTTATATGGTGAATCGCTTTTCACAAACATTTTTTAAATCTTTTAAATTACCAATAATCTTTACATCTTAGACTCGATTCTTCTTCACTAAACTAAGGAATTGCGTAGAAAAATCAATATAAATGTAAAAAAAAGAAACATAGGAAAGAATTCAATGACTCATTAGAAATTGAACAGCATAAATCGCTTAAAACTTTGGTGTTAGCATAAGAAAGTATCAAAATAAAAAATTAGTAATACTAGCTAGTACATGAGAAAATAGAGATTTATTCATGTACCAATAAAATTTAATAGGAAAATGATTTATCCATACTCAATTCAATGCACTTTTTAATATTCATTTTTATTTATTAAAATATAATATAAGTATAATCCATTGAATCAATTTTTATATTTTGTATATATAGTTACATCTTAAAGTTTATTTACCTTTAATTCAAAAAAAAAAATTTAATGAATGTGTTTTGCAATATATTAAACTAAAATATATATCAATCAGTGTTTAATTTGATATTATCATAAGATATTAATACATGATATTTATTTGAAATTATGTTTTTACAACAAAAACTCACAATCAAGTAAGATGGATTCATCTTATAAACTATGATGAATATTTTTACAAAGTAGAAAATTATAATTATTTAATCACTCAAAAAAATTAAGTATGTAAAATAAAAAGTTAGGCAAAAACAAAAGTAGAGTCAATAGAGGAAACTTTAACTGACAAGGAAACATGAAGAGCTTCTTTTATAAAGAGAGCAATGAATGAAGAAACGAGTAAAGTTTGGTTCTAGGAATTTTAGGGCTAGTTAGGGGTTTCCAAAAGGAAAACGATTAATGCACTATTTAGTTTAACACATCTTTCTATACTTTCTCAGTTCAATCATTAACATAATATAATTATATCGATCCAACTAGCCTTGCGTGTTGTATATATAATTTAAGTTTATTTGTCTTTAATTTTAATATAAAAAATAATAATTATTTAATAAATATATTGTATAGTATATTAAATTGAAAATTATACCGACCAATGTCTTTTTCAAAAATGCATTCTCGAATTTCTCTCTAGAAATGACTGTTTTTTGCAATTAGTTTTTTTAAAGATAATCATCAAGGAAAAACAAAAGTATCATAGGTCCATTGCTCTTCTTTTAAATAAATTCTCTAGGGTTGGATTTGGGCCCTAGACTTATGTACCTCCTTTGTAAATTTTTCAGGCCCAATATTTGCATATTTACCAAATCTAAATATTTATTTAATTATTAAAATTTTCATAAAAAAAAACTTATATATTAATTTATTTTCAAAGGGGGCCCCTCTAGGCCTTTTAAGATGCTCTGCCCCTGGTAGTCATAAACTAGTAATTTAAATGCAGAATACGTGGTTCACAATCATAAGATGTGATAGCTATGTTCACAGGCGATTGGGGGAAAATCAAAATCCACTATGCAAAATTACAAGAGACTTTTGGAACCTAAATCATCAACCACAATACGGTAGGATGTCCCCAGCACACACAAGCCCTTACATCTTAAAAGACCACTATTTTTTTTTTTTTTTTTTACCTCTTTTGGTGACCACAAGACGACTAACTCAAAAACCCCAACCCTAGAACACAAGTTGAGTATTTACATGGCGTTGTCGTAAATTTTGCCAAAAAAGTTAATTTTTTGTTCGGGTTGCGACCAAATGTAGCCACTCATTTTTTTGTTAATTTCTTTTATCTCATCCTTGAGGAGGAGGTATTGACATGGTAAATAATTAAGATAGGTTTCGTAGAATTGATGGTTGATCAATTCATAGCTAAGTAGGAAATAAGTAGGATTAGATTTATCATTTTTGTATTTTACCATATTTTATTTTCGTTTAAGGTTAGTAAAGCCTAATTAAGGGTATTTAGAATTTGTAACCTCTCAATTGCAGGCGTCCAAAAATTGTAACTGTTCTATTCTTCCTCTCATTTTCCTATATTCCCCCACAGATTTCATGTTTGTTTGACATTTAATGCCTATAATTTAGTCCCCCTGCTTCCGGAAGAGTTCTTTAATTTCTTAGTTTAATACTAAAAGCAAAAGCTAATAGAACCAACGTCTGTCCTCATTTTAGCTTCAAGAGTTCTAAAAGCCTTTTTATCTTAATTCTTATGGAAGTTTTTTATTTTAGAAAAGCAATTCCTATGAAGTTAAAAAGGGGAAGAAGCATACTCTTATTCCACCTTGTAAAAATCAATTGCAGCAGGTATTTTGAATTCTCAACTTTCAAAGATTTTTATTGAAAATGGGTTTCTTTATTTGCAGCTGCAACTAATTCCTTATAATGGAAAAAAAATTGGTGATAAGTCTGTACTGTGGACCCAAAGCCACTTGGACGCCGGTGACTACCACGCTATTGAAGGGGATGGGCCTGGTTCCAGGGTTCTCAATGCTTTTAGTGATTATGCCTATGATGGTACTAATATTACAGTCTGCTCATGGTCTAATGGCAAAGACAATGAGATGTGGAAGATTGAACCATATTGTAAGTTGATGAAGAAACAACTAAAGTTTTTATTTTTCCATTAGAGCAAAATAAAGGATAATTATTGATATATCTTTTTATTTAATATTCACAATACATTTATTAAAAGTTTATTATTTTTAAATTTGAATTTAAGACAAAAATTTTTAACTATAAAACTTAATAGTTTGAACATGTAAGTGTTGAATTGGAGAGTATATCAATTATTTTTCCAAAACAAATAGAAGATTCTTGAAAGCAATATTGCAAGATAATACTAAAGTTCTTATTTTTTTCTAAATAATTTTTGCAGCTACATTTGAAATTTATTGCAAGGCTGGGCCTGATTTCAATATCACTATAAGGGATGGCAAATTGGTCCTAGCCAAATCTAATCCATCTGATGAGCTCCAGGTATATCTGGTTAAATATCTTACAAATTTACTTGTCTAATTATTCTATTATTGAATTTCCTAACTATTAATCAACATTTCTGCCCTCGTCTTTTATATTATGCAAGGGCAGACCTTCGGGGGAGGAATGGGGCAAGGCTACCCCTACCCCCAAGTTTTTGGAAAATTTGGCCGCAACCTTTAGTTTGTTAAAATTTTCCAATATGCCACCTAAGGTATTAAACATTTTTCAATATAATAAAATTTAAATATTTCAATTAATAAAGTCAAAAAAACACTTGATGCCTCTTTAAAAGCGTTGTGGTTTTATTTTTAGTTTTGACCCTTAATTTTGAACAATCAAAATTGACAAGTGTAATTGAGCTAAATTATAATTAAAATTGATAACTTTTTAAATATAAATTTTCAAAACTAATTATTTTAATATGTAAAAGTTAATATTTATGGATAGTAAGTGGAACTTAACCCATACACAAGACAGTTCTTTTTTTTTTTTTTTAACACAAAAGCAAACATTTGTTAAGAAACTGAGTATAAGGGATACTCAAACCCGTATTACATACACAAAAATACCAGCCATTTAATGTTAATCCTATCTTTCATACCATTCCTTCACTAACCTCTTTCTTTTCCACCACAATTAATAGGAAGACATGTTGCAAGATTGATTAACCAATCTAAAAGATTAAAGTAACACCTAGCTTTTCTTACTTTAATCCATAAAAAAAATCTTAGTTGAATAAGTTCAAGCAGCTTACCCATATTCACCTCTGAGTCATGAAAAATCTTATGATTTTGTGCAAACCACACGAACTAAACCACTGTAATCCAGATGCAGTCCTAGCCTTCTATAATGCATGGGTCTTTGGTCCACGCCCCAAAATGCTCAAAAATTTTCCAACAATCTTTATCCATTTTTATAATGATCCCCCACCATTTGGCACATGCCTTCCATAGCCATCTAGCTATTTTACAATTCAAGAACAAATGGTTTGAATCCTTGTCCTCTTCCTTGCATAGTGCACACGTACCTTCTACCATATCTTTGACAATCCCTCTTTTTAAGAAGTTAGACTTGGTTGGAATTCTGTCAAGCAATAATTGCTAGTTGAATGCAGAAATTTTGCTTGGGAGAATGGGATTCCATACTCTCTTGAAAATTTTAACTCCATTCGATCCCCTTTGTTCCTTTGTCAAAAGCGAGTAAGCTATTGTAGTTGAATAGTGATCATTCTTACTATGTACCCACTCCCATTTGTCAGGGTAGCCAGGAGAAATCTTAACATCCTCTATCATCCTTCGGAGATCCATGATAACAACGTCTTCCCACTCAAACAGGGTTCCTCTCCATACAAGGTTTCATTTCCATGTTCTGTTATAAGCATTGCCCGTTTGGTAGCATTCTTTCTCCTTTCTTGTTGATAAAAGATATAATATAGGAAACTTATTAGCAAGACAACCCTCCCCACACCATTCATCCCACCCAAAACTCACTCATTTCCCCTCCCTTAGCTTTATCATAAATCCCTCCGACAACCACCTTGCATTCTCCCTGTCCACAATATTGAGAAAATGCATATCTCTGCAACATAATGAACCTACTCCGCTACCATCTCTTACCCAAGCCAGCCAATGAACCCCCTCCCTTGCCATATTTTCCTACAATAATTTTCTTCCATAATCCTTCTTCATTTGTTGCTAACCATCCCCACTATTTTCCCATCAACACCAAATTAAACTTCCTCAACTACCTCACTCCGAGCCCACCATACTCTTTTTGCTTACAAACATTCTCCCAACTTACCCAATTAATTTTTTTCACTTCTCCCTCCCACCCCATAAAAAACTCCTACGAATTTTATCAATAGAATTGAGTATACCTTTAGGAATTAAGTAGATTGACATCAAGAACATTAGCAGACTAGACAACACAAAAATCATGAGCGTGATCCGACCTCCAATAGAAAAATGTCGACCTTTCCAACTAGCTAGCTTCTTTTTAAAGGAATCCACCGATGATTGCCACATTACTAGCCTTCTATGATTCCCACTAATAGGAATCCCCAAATACTTAAAAGGGAAACTCCCTCTCTTTGCAACATAACCTATAGGCCATTTTATCTCTCCAATCGTCCTTTACTCCGACTCCCATTAGCTAGCTCTTCCCAAAATTAATTTTTAATCTTGAAACCAGCTCAAAAGTCCTCATAATGCATTTAATTGCCCATATGTTGTCTTCCGATGCCTCACCAAAAAAGATTGCATCATCTGCAAATTGCAGGTGGACACCGTCACAACTCGGTTGCCAACTGTCACTCCCTTATACAATTCCTTCTCCATCGTAGAACACACTACCCGCTTTAGCCCCTCCACCACAATCAGGAATAAAAAAAGGGATAATAGGTCACCTTGTCGTATGCCTTTGCTAACAGGGAATTGTCTCGTTAGGCTTTCATTAACAAGAATTGAAATCATACTCGATCGCAGACACTCCTATATCCATTTTCTCCATGTGACACTAAATCTCATCCTCAACAACATATAATCTATAAATTCCCAGCACACCTTGTCATATGCCTTTTTGAAATTGACTTTGAACATGAAGCCCTTCTTCTTCTTTCTCTTCGTCTTATCAACCAACTCATTTGCATTCACAACTCCATCCGCCAAATGTCTACCCTCGATGAATGCCATATGTTGCTCCTCAATAACCTTGTTCAACACTTTTCAAAGACGATTTACTAGCAACTTTGTAATAATCTTATACATGACTTCAATAAGCGAAATGGGTCTATATTCTTTTATTCTTTGTGGGTTTTCTACCTTTAGAATAAAAACAATAAAGGAGGCATTTGACCCTCTTACGAGCCTACCTTACTCATGGAACTCCTGTATGAACCCAACAACATCAAGTTTTATGTCTTCCCACATGGCCTTCATGAATCTGAAATTGAAACCATCCGAACCTAGGGATTTTGAAGAGTCGCAATCCCAAACTACTTTTTTAATTTCCTCCTCAGAGGATGTTGCCATGAGAAACTCATTATCTGCTTGAGCTTCGGCCTTTGCCACTTTTCTTCTTTAAACAACCCCTCAAAATATTTAGCCAACTCTTCTTTTATTTCAGCCATGCCCATGTGTTGCTCACCACTAATTTGGATGCTATTGATTTCATTTCTTCTCCATCTTCCCTTCACACTTCTATGAAAAAATTTTGTATTTGCATCCCCTTCTTTTAACCATATCTTTCCTGACTTTTGTTTCCGCATACTCTTGTAATTTTTAAGTTCTTCCAAAGGTCGAGAAAACGACTTCTCCTCTTTTCAATGTCTTTTGCAGACAATTGGGCATTCTCTCCTTTCTCATCCAATGAAGCTATCTCCTTTTCAACTTCATTTATTTTGCTATCCACCTCTACCATAGAGTTACCACTCCACTCTTTTAAAGCTTTCTTTGTTCTTTTTAGTTTTTTCTTGAGTCTAAAGCCATGCCAACCTTTCACCACAGTAGAATTCCACACATTTCTAATCATACCCTTGCATCGAGGTTGCTCAAGCCAAGCATCAAAGAACTTGAATAATTTTGGCCCCCAATCAATCGTCTCATTCTTCAATATGATAGGACAGTGATCTAACACTGATCTTCTCAATCCTCATTGCTTAACATCACTCCATTTCATAAGCCATTCTTCCAATAGCAAGTACCTATCAATCCTACTCATTTACTAACCATTGGAATTGTACCAAGTATATTTCCTACCCACCAAAGGCAGGTCAACCAATCCAGCATTATAAGTAAAGCAGTCAAACTCCCTCATTTCCCTAGATACCCCCACAACACCTTGCCTGCTCCCTTGCTCTTCTTACAACATTAAAGTCCTCCCCCAGGCACCAATTGCCTCTCCTACTAGTAATTAGACTCTGCAGCTCCTCCGACGAAGCTCTTTCGCCCATCAAATACACAAAACAATTTTAAAAAAAAAAATCAAAATCACGTCCACCATTCCCACCGTGAAGAATGCCACAAATCAATGGATAGATCAGGCCTTTTTCTTTTTCTTTTTCTTTTCTTTTCTTTTCTTTTCTCTTCTTTTTTTTTTTTTTTTTTTT